ATGGTAAGCACCTACAATACGCTTGGCACTGTTCATTTACTACATATATGCAAGGTTAAACTTAAATCACTACTCACTTCCCTGTGACATGCCCCTCTTATATTATCTTCTCCTTGGATAGCTGGTGTTTCAGGTATCAGTTTTAGAGCAAAAACTTTTAAAGATCAGAATTCATCAAAGAGACTTGGCATATTTCCAAGATACCTGATTGATAATTAACAGTATTTTCATACTTTACCAATACAGATGGACACAAATATTTTGTGCTCTTGGGACAAAATGAAAATCCCATACAGTCAGGCACTGGAGCAGATGCAAAAAGAATAGGACATAAGGTGCTGTGTAAGTTGTGCTTTGGAAGCAGACACAAGAGTATAAAAGGGAATGTTTCAGCAATATTGATGATGCTTGCAAGGAATTTTCACAAATAGGAGAGAAACCTTATAATAAACATGAGGAAAAAAATGTGGTCTTAACACACATACACAAAAAAATAGAAATAGGAAAAGCTAAAAGAAAACCCCATGTTTAGTTTTCTTGTGCTTAAGTTTCTAGAGGTTACAAGAAATATAATCTGAAGATCAAAATGGGAGCATCTTAAGATCTGTTAGATTTTATTCTATATTTAAATCTGTATTTCCTTGCTGCTCCAAGAAATATTCACAAAATTAGAAAATTAGTGAGTGTCCACATTTGTTTCTACTTTACGAATTAGTTTTCCCAACCATATGGTGATAATAGGAATGACAAAACCCACCATCAGTATGTGAAATGTCAGTACTTTTGGGAGTATTAATTATAAACTGACTGACTTTAGAGGCCTTTATAAAGGGACCAAGATGTGCACAGCAATCAGGTTTATCCTTCACAACTGAAAGAACCACACCGTGCTCCCTTGAAGGGTCCTCCTAGCTGCATGTATGTGCACAGGTATGATTCTTTTTTTTTTTTTAACTCAGGGCATCACAAAAATAGCTGGTTACATTAGCTTCATTTAAATATTTATTTTTATGTGGCTCTTCCCTTGAATGGGAAAATAACATCTTTCGTACAAGAAAAACAATGTATCCTCCTTTTTGAACTCAATATATTAACCATTACTTTTTTTTTTCTTATGAATTCTTCTGTGGTATGGAAAACCACTACTTTCTTTGGTTGTGGTTAGGGCCAGGTTTGCTGGAGAATGTTACAGATAAGAAAAGTTTACTAAAGCAGAAAACTCTATTGCATAAACCATTCTTCTGTTCTTTCCCCTCCTCATCTGCTCCTCTCATACCTTTGAAAATTACTCACAGGGCATGAAAATTATTTTCTCTTTTGGGACCCCTTTCCTTATACCTCCACATACACTCCTTCCTTAGTGCATCTAATAAAACCCAACTTATGTGTTAAAGATGACCTACAGCACTTCCTACACTGACATCAGTTAGTTTTGGGAGGAGACCTTGCGTTGAATTAGTTTGAAATGACATGGCATTAGGCAAGACCAGGTACACTGAGTCTACACAGGCAATCCAAAGTTTCCTCATCTCTAAAGAATTCAGCATCCGGCCAGGAGCCTGTTTCTCATCTTTATGTGCCCGCTGGTGTTCACCGGGAGATCTGTATCCTTAAGTCATCTGTGTATGACAGGGGCAGGGCCAGTCTGAAGGCATGAGTAATCCACGATTATCACATTAAGAAACTTGCAAACTCCACCATCAGAAAAATTTAAGTTACTGAGTACTCAGAGTAAAGAAAAGTCAATGCCATTTCTTATCGCATACATTTTTCAGAAGTCTACTTTTCTCCAGCCTTCCAAATAGCAGGATCTATAAGATTCTCTAATGGGGATTTTTATTACTAACTGAGGGATATATTTTAGGAAAGAGTATTTTTTGGGGCGAGTCTCTAAAGGGAACCTGCACAGCAACACTGTCTAAAGTGAATCAAGTACAAACACTAAATTTTCTTAAGCTTTAAAACATTAAGCACAAAACGTAAGCAACATATTGCAACTTTATTAGATTTTCTATTTTACTGGCCATTCAGATTCAACTAAGGCCTTTGGAACCTGTAACTATAGTCCTTTAACATCTTTGAGGTGTCATTGTCCATAGCATGAAATCTGATTAGGTGGCACAAGACTAATCAACCTGTTAATACAGAGAAACTGTTAATAACTGTGGCAGCTTTGGTTTTATAATTTAACCACAAAAGGTAAAGACATTCAGTCTTATGTGAGGGTTCTTTGCAGCTGCTGTGCAAGGCATTACTCAAAAAAAATTTTGCCAGGATACTAGCGATGCCATGTTGCAGGTCAGTCAAAACTCTGCCTCACATTAGCACAAGAAAGGTAGCAAGGGTGTGAAAACTTATTTTCTCTTTTGGGCACCCTTTCAATAAATTTCTGCACACACTCCTTCCTCAATGAATCCATTTATCTACTATCTTTATCTAATATCTCCAAGGAATAGGGGTATTTATGGTCTTGCTCAGTGCAGGGGTGATAATGATGGGTGACTGAATGGAAAAACTGACAAAGCAAGGGAAGGGAAACATCCCCCAAACTTATTATTTAATAGAATGTTCCTCATGACACCTCTTGGGACGTAAACAGAGCTTGCTGTAAAGAAGCTCATTCTGATGGCTAAAGACTTGTATGGCTGAGTAAGGCAGTTTCTTGACCCCTACCCACCTGCTAACAGATTTTCCTAAAAATCTGGGGACAACGGAGGAGGAGGCATATTTCTCCCTTTCCAAACGGGGGCAACGTCCCTCCTCCCAGAAGTGATTTTAAAATTCTGGCTCCTAAAAGCAGCAGCCTCCCTGGCAGCCATTTTGGCATGAGCAGTTATAGCTGCGCACTTTGGAACCTGTCAGTTCTCGAGTTTGATGTCTAAAAAGCGCTTCAGTTCACTTCCACTTTAGAGGGTCAGTGGTGTCTGCAGTCCTGTTGTTCAGGTTCTATCCTTTGATGACAGCGATGGGTCTCAGTTTAATGGCCTTCTTGCTGATGCCAGCATCATGGCAGGTGTTCACCACATCTGTCACGTTCTTATAGGACTCAGGAGCCTGCATGGGAGGAATTAACCATTATAATATAAAAGTTTGCCGAAATGCAATTTCTAAAATCACTATATTTTACTTGTAATTAAAGAAATGTACACTAAAATAACGCTGAGGGCTTTTTTGTTCTGTTGAATTAGCAAAAGTTTAAAATAGGAGTAACTTGATATTGGTAAAGGGTAGTGAGATAAACCCTCTCATCTTGTTTTATAATTTTCTGTAATTCTCAAAATTTCTCCAAAGAACATTTATTACTTGGATCATTACAACAAAAATGTAATGAAATAAAACACCAATACCTGACTGGAAGGAAATGCACCAAACCATGTCACTGGTAATTACCTCTGGATGGTAGAGTTACTGGCAATTTTAACTTTCTTTCTTTGTATATTTCTATGGTTGTCAAAATTTCTGGAGTGAACATGTATTATTGTCAAAATAAGGCAAAGTTATTAAACTCACATATGACATAAATAAAACTAACCAAAACTGTATGTGTATACGTATATATGGGTAGGTATATGTATGTACCTACACTCACAATTTATTTCTGTGAGTTGCTAGCAAGACCCCGCCTTTCCATCTCACCCACTCACTGTCTTGCCATTAGAACCAACCTCATCACACACCCCCTTTACTTCTATTCCTGTCAACACAAGAAGGCTGCCCAGACTAACTCCCACAGGCTCTGTACATACCCTCTTCTAGCCCTCGTCCCAGTCCCTCACAGTTTCTAAAACTTTTCCATTCGGTAGTCTAGAACTCCTTCCAGAGGAAGGAGCAAAATCCCCTCCGCCTTCCCTTCTTCTTTGAATATTCCCTTCATCTTCTTGTTCTTACAGAAACACGGATCTCCCCTGAGGATATTATCTTTGCCTCCAACTTTCTGAAGTGGTAGTTCTTTTCTTCCCAAAACCAGGTCACACCATTGGCCTTCGAAGTGGGACAGGCGTCCTCCTGGCTTTGAATCTTACAGCCATGTTATACCACCTGTTACCTCTTGTGGTTACCTGTTACAGAGTCTGAATCACTCCCAACATTACTTGATTTTTAGCTCCTGGCTCACTGTCACTTTCTCCTGCTATATAATTCTGAATGATTTCACTATCCAGGGAGAGGATCCTTTCAGTACTGTGGCTTCTCAGTCTGCTCCTGTGATGATTATGGCTCTGCTTACCCCAGCTCTTCACTGGCAGGGTTATACCCTAGAGCCTCTCATTAACAAAATTACTACCTCTCCATAATCTCACTTCCAAGCATTCCAGGCTGGGGATCACAGCCCGGGTTTCCTGCTCACTCCCCCTTGTCTCCTATCTGCAACAATCCTTTAACCCATCTAGGACCTACAGTCCCTTTGCAACACCCTCAATAACCTTGCTTCTCTTTCACTGTGCTGTACTTATGACCCTGGATAAAGGTGGCTCAGCACCTATTTCATGCCTGCACCTATATAGCTGGATATACTTTAAAAAACACCCAACCACTGAATTTAGCCTAAGGAAACCCTTAGTACTATGCACAATCATCCAAAATTTCACTGGGCCAATTACTCTCCCTCCTAGATGACTATTTCCCACCTTCTCTTGCACCCACACTCTCAGTTGCTGACCCTACTTCCTAATACACTGAAAAAAATAAAAGAGCCAGCATAGAATTTTCATAAACTCTTACTTTATCTTCCCACCTAGTTGCATTTGTGGCCTCTGTCCTTTTATTAAGGATGAATTATCTGCACTCCTAGCAAAGACCAACCCCATCAACTTGGACACCAGATCTCCCTCCTCTCATCTACTCAAAGACATTCCTCCTATAATTTTCCCCTTTTCTGTATCATCAATTTCTGTTTTAGATTCTTATCAGCATGCAAACACACCAGTCAGATCATGTCACTCTTCTACTCAAAATCCTCCAACATCTTTCCATTTTAATCAGTGTAAAAGCAAAACTCCTTTTGTAAGAGAGAGAGAGAGAGAGAGAGAGAGAGAGAGAGAGAGAGAGAGAGAGAGAAAGGACCCACATACTTTGGCCTCCCTGCTGCCCCCTCTCTGCTCTCCCTCTTGCTTGCACTTGTCACTCCCAGGCTCCTTGCTGTTTCTTGAACATTCTTGCATAATCTCAGCTCCAGGGTTCTGTACTTGCTGTTCTCTCTGCCTGGAAAGCGTGCTTCCAGATACCCACATACTCACCTCACTAAAGTCTTCTCTGGCCACCCGACTTAAAACTGCACCCCTCCCTACCTTTTCTTATCCTTTCCCTGCTTGGTGTTTACTCCATAGCACTTATGTGGTCATTAACTCACTACACATTTTACTATTGGGTAAGTGCCACAAGGCAGGGATTTACGTTAGTTTTGTTCACTACAGTATCTCTACCATGCAGAAAAGTAGCTAACTATAGCAGAAGTTTAATGAGTGAATGAAAAAAAATCAAGTGTTGCAAAGTGAGGAAAAAAACCAAAAACCAAACCAAACCAAAACAAAACAAAAAACCCCAAATTAAGAAAATAAATGTTAACAATTGTCTTCTCTGGCTGGTTGAATTCTAGATGTCTTCTGTTTTCTTCTTTGTATTTCTCAAATCTTTTAAATGAAACATGTACTATTTTTAAGATCAGGGGGAAAATTCATAGTTATTAAGAAATACAATGCTTTTTCATACTGACTCAATAAATCCATTTTGAGACTTCATTCTAGTTATTAAAACATCTGGAATAAAGCTTCATGAAGACACTCATTACAACTTAATTTATAGTAGCAAAAATGTGGAAGCTACTTGAATGTCCACTACAGGCAGAAACTAAGGCTATATAGCAATAATTCAGGTTACACAATTTTTTTTTTTTTTTTGAGACAGAGTCTCACTCTGTTGCCTAGGCTAGAGTGCCATGGCATGAGCCTAGCTCATAGCAACCTCAAACTCCTGGGCTCATGCATTCCTTCTGCCTCAGCCTCCTGAGTAGCTGGGACTACAGGCATGTGCCAACATGCCCAGCAAATTTTTTTTTCTATATATTTTTAGTTGGCCAATTAATTTCTTTCTAATTTTTAGTAGAGATGGGGTCTCGCTCTTGTTCAGGCTGTTTTCAAACTCTTGACCTTGAGCGATCCACTTGCCTAGGCCTCCCAGAGTGAACAATTTTATAATGTGCTGAATCTAAAAAACGACTACAAAAATGTTTGTAAGCAATAATTACAACTAGCTTAAAAAAGCACTTAGGGAAAAATATGGCAGTTAAGTATTGTAAAAAATAGGATGGTATTTGTGCCAGGGCACTGAGTTTCTGGATCAGTAATTTTCTTTTCTCTTAATTTTTTTACCATTTTTTATTTGTATAATATATATTTATGGGGTATAAATGCAATTTCCCTACATTGATATATTGCACTGTGGTTAAGTTAGGGCCTTCAGTGCACACGTCACTCAAGCAATGTACATCGTAGTCATCAAGCAACCTCCTACCATCCATCCGCCTCCACCTCCTCACTCCTCCGAGTCTTTATTGCCCATCGTTCCACTCTCTACTTCCATGGTACACATTACTTAGCTCCACTTATAAATGAGAACATGTGGTATCTGTCTTTCTGTGTCTGATTTGTTCCACTTAAGATAATGGCTTCTAGTCTTCTCTCTTGAATTTTTAAGAAAGGAGTTATTGTTGCTTCTAACTTGAATATGTTAATAAGTGTACATATAAGTAATTTGATAATTTAAAGAAAATCTTTTATGAACTTGGCTTGTAATTAATTTCTAAACAAAAGAGGAGGCAATTAAAACCAAAATAAGATAAATTAAGAAACATAAACAGAAACTGAGGTCATAAAAAAAAAGAAAAAACCCAACAATTTCCGCTAGTAATACAAAAATTGCTGATCTGTGCACTGGCATAAATCATAAATGGTGAACATGCTGAATATTTATTAAAATCTCACTTACCTCTTCCATAACCAGTTTGGGTGAGGCAACACGGATTGCGATCCCCATGTCTGCCAGTTTGTCTAAGACATCCTGGAAATCTAAATTACGTCGAGATTTTGCTCGGGACAACGCACGGCCCTAGAACAGAAAAGGTATGGGAAAAGTACTTTATAAATTCTGAACTAAATTTTATGTTTGACACCAGTTATTATTTAACACATTGACTGCCACACTAGAAAAAAAATTTTTCCTTGGGGACATGGTTGTTTTATTATGAAATAGAATAAAAACATCGAAAACAAAATGATTCTTTCTAATTTAATGACAAATTTGTTATTTTTTTCTGTGTGTGAGTTACATGCAATTTGAAATATAGTTCTCATGGCTCCCAAAGTAAAGAGACATGAGCTACATAAGCTTCATGAGGCCCCGGGCTCAAAACTAGAGTGAGTTAAATACAACTCATATGGCCGTTAATGCGTTAAACTCTTAGGGTTAGATGCCTGCTCCTTAATTTTTTTTAAAGACTAAAAAGGTGTTTATAAAACAATCTTTCTACTTTACCAACCTTATTACATACCGTTTGTCATAAACTTCATCATACCCTTTTGGAAAATAAATTTCTATCTACATAAGGCATTTTGTAGTTAAAGATTTAGTTTTGTATATTTCTAATTACTAATTCAATTTAATTTGAGTTTTTAATTGTTAACAGTATGTCTGTCACCACAAAAACTCTGTTCTTTTGTGGTTGGAGATGGTTTTTTAACTCAGAACTACTGACATTTTGGACCAGATAATTCTTTGTTGTGGGGGCTGTGTCCTGCAGGATGTTTAGCAGCATCCCTGGCCTCTACCCACTAGATGCCAACAGCAACTCCCCCTAAAACTGTGACAATCAAAAATGTCCCCAGATACTGCCAGTGTCCCTGTGGGAGTAGGGAGTTCACCATGGTTGGGAATCACTGGGTTAAACTTAAGAGTTGGGAAGCAGCTGGAAATGAGAAACAATCCAAGAAAAAAATAGGGTTAAAATATATCTGTGACGGTCTGTCCTAAGAGAAGGTATTCTGGAAAGTTTCTTTTTGCTATTTCAACACTGGCTAAGCACTCTCATGGCTTAGAATAATGGCTGGCAAACAACAGTTTGTGGGCCACATCTAACCCACCAACTATTTTTTAAAATAAAGTTTTATTAGAACACAGCAATGCCCATTTATGTAATACTTAAGGTTGCTTTTGCACTAAAATGGCACAGCAAATAGCTGGCATGAACGTCACATGGCCCCCAAAGCCTAAAGTATTTACTGTCTGGCTCTTTACAGATAAAGTTTTCTGACCTCTGGCTTAGTCGACGAGAAGCTATGTGCTGAAATGGGTGTGCAGACTACACATGGCTCTGATTTGCAAACAGGGCCTATCCCCCAAATCTTGAGTGGACAAGTACACAATAGGAAGGAGCAAATTAAGCAAATAAGAGGCAGGTCTAGTGACTCACTGAGATGAGCAGTGATGTAAATCTGCATAAGTTAGTTATATCACTTATAAACCAGTTACAGTAGGCTCAGCTAGGGTGACCATTTCCCAGTCTGGATTTTCTAAACTTGTAGATGAGAAACAGTCCCTGGCCCTACCATGACTTCACTAAGGTGGAGACACTACTAGGTGACCTCAGTCAGTTCACTAAACAGTATACATTATGGGGAATAGTTTCCAGTAGAAGACATGACAGATCCAAACTGTAACTTTGTTACTGCTCAATCAGGTACATTTACCAGTCAAAATGCAAAACAACAGCAAAACTGACGAGAGTGTTTCTGAGGAATTTTCTGTTTTCCTTACCGCTCCATGACAGGTTGTTCCAAAGGTCTCAGTCATGCCCTGTTCAGTGCCTGTAAGAACGTAACTACAGGTTCCCATGGTGCCGCCAATAAGCACTGGTTGTCCAGTGAGCTGAGGATGTACACAAATCAAACAATTAAAATTTAGGAAAGCATAAGCTTTTTATGTCTGAAATTTCTTCTGGCATTGTAGGATAAACCTAGACCTCTAAACACATTGCTCTTACAACTATATTAACACATTATTTTGGTTCTTTGATAATTTAGATGGGAGCAAACAGAAAGGGGGTGGAAATGTGATGACCAGGAAATATGCAGAAGACAAACTAGATTTAAGAGCAAAGTAAAATCCAAAAGTATAGGGAAGTGTTACTAGAACAACTATCCTGGACAAGGATATGCCCTCTCTTGGCTTCAGTTTCCTAATCTGTAAAGGAGTCAGTAGGCTATGGGTTCTTCTAACTCTACCACAGCCAATACTAAAGGATAGGAGGACTAAACCAGTGTATTCTCCATCCTGTCTTCCAATAATAATTTAAAGGCTTGAATTCATCTTAACGAAGTAAAATGTACTTAACACAGCACTTTTTTTTTTTTTGAGACAGAGTCTCACTCTATCACCCCAGGTAGAGTGCAGTGGTGTCACCATAGCTCACTGCAACCTCCAACTCCTGAGCTCAAGCAATTCTCCTGCCTCAGCCTCCTGAGTAGCTGGGACTACAGGTGCATGCCACCATGCCTGGCTAATTTTTCTGTTTTTTTTTTTAGAGACTGGGTCTTGCTCTTGCTCAGGATGGTCTCAAACTCCTGCCCTCAAACAATCCTTCTGCCTCAGCCTCCCAGAATAGATGCAGCACTTTTTAGATAGCACATAGAGATGTAAGCACAAGAGATGGGGAGGAGTCACTGCTTCAGAGAAGACTGGGAATCACTCTTCTCATGGGTGGCAGAATATTTTCTTTTCATAATTGCTGCTTTCCTGTTTAAATGCAATCCACATCCAGAACTATCTAAATCATGCCTGTAGTACTCAGTAAACAAAACCACAAATGCAGGGGTACATACTTGGTAATCAACAGCAATGAGGGGATGGTGAGGAGGGAAAGCGCGGGTGGATCCCTTCCTGTGCACTAACAGTGTCCGTTCCTTTCCATCCACCACATGCTGCTCTACTTTGGCAATGTTGTGAGAAACATCATAGATCACATGAAGGTCTAAGTCATCAGGCGTTGTGTTGAAGACCTTGGCAAAAGCCTAAGAGAAAAAGTTGACGTTAAAAGTAGCCAGAATCAGCTCTTCAGAACCTACTGATTTTGGTTAGTCTATACCTGAAGGGAGTAAAGGATTTAAGGGTTAAAAAATAGCAGTATGATTAATCTTCATGTAAAGGACAAAAATTGCCTTTTAGACCATACAGCAAATTCCACTCCATAATTTTTTCTTTTTTTTACAGAGACACGGTCTTACTCTGTCACCCAGGCTGGAATGCAGTGGCATGATCACAGCTCGCTGAAACCTCAAACTCCTGGGCTCAAGTGATTCTTCTGCCTCAGCCTCCCAAGTAGCTGGGGCTACAGATGCATGCCATCACACCTGACTAATTTTTCAATTTTTTATCTCACTCTTGCTCAGGCTGGTCTTTAGCTCCTGGCCTCAAGCAATCCTCCTGCCTCGGCCTCTCACAGTGCTATGATTATAGGTGTGAGTCACCTTGTCGGGCACTTCTATTTTCTCTGTTGCTCAAGACAAATTCTAGAAATAATTCTGATTTCTCTTCTTTTCTCATTCCCTACACCTGATACTCTGCTGGTTTAGTTTAAGAAGAAACCAAAACTAGGGACACTTCTCCAATATTTTCAATCTTTCTTGTGTAAATTTCCAAAACCAAACACCACAGGCTTTGATTTAACTATACCATGTGTCAAAGGACTTCACTTCATCATGAATAACTTGGAACAGAAGAGCAACTTCAACTGTACCTGACGGGTTAAGAAGGTCATAGAAGAGCGGTTGACCCAGGCATAGTTCCCAGCTGCTGCCATTCCCTTCAGGTAGTCCTGACCTTCTGGGGAAGCGATTCGTGCACAAGCCAACTGACGGTCATTGACTATAATCTTGTCTCTCTTCATGGCCTTTTCCATAGCTACCAGCGCATCTGAAGCAAGAGAGCAATTAGATTTCCCTTAAATAATTCAGATTTATTGCAGAAACGTAAGCTACTTTCAAACTCATTCTACAAAAAAAATCAAGTGAAATACAAGTTTCCCTTTAATGTGTTTATGAGTTCATCTATTTGCTTAGTCAAGATATATTTATTAAGAATCTTCTCTGCCAGTGTGTGGGTGACACTTTGTGAGATACAAAGCCGACATGTACCCTTTAGGAACTGATAAGGAGAATGAGATGTGCATACAAATAGCCACAACATGGTCTTAGTTCTTTCCCAACATGTGAATGAATGAGAAGTAGTAAAACACATTTTACTACCATAATGGTTTTGAAAAATAATTTTTAATGCTTCAATATAAAAGAACTGCAAACAAGTTGCTAGATCTGCATGAAGATCAAGTCCATGACAAAGTACAGAGAAGCACTCAGCAGAATGTTCTGAAACACTAGTCAATGCTTTATATATTTGATAGATTAAATAGTTCAAATGGTCAGGTTAGTGCAAATTATTAAATTCTCATGGAATGAAATGTACATATAAGGCTGACCTGTAACATGAAATTTAAAGTTTATAATAATTTCTAACTATATATCTGTTCATATATTCATAAATCCTTTCACACAGCCCATAAGTCATCTAAAGTGATCTTTGCATTACTTTCCTGCCTCCTGCTTTTGTTCATGCTTTTTGTCACAAATGTTCTTTGTGTGTGATTACCCAAACTTCAAGGCCCAGCTCAAACATCATGTAACCCATAAGAGTAAACAGACTGACAACTGGAGCTAACATTTATTAAGTGCTTACTAATGTCAGGCACTGACTTAAATGTTTTACGTATTTTATTTCATTAACTTTCCATGGCAATACCATATGAAATAATTACTATACCCATTTTTTTTAGACAAGAAAGTTTAAGCCCAGTGAAGTTATTTAATTTGTTGAGGTCACAAATTAGAAGAGCCACGATAAAATGCATACACAGTATAATTCCAGAGCTTTCTCTCTTAAACTTCCATTTGCTTCTCATAAAATGTACATTTTTAGCACCCAGTTTAGAACATACCTGTGGCTACTTGGTGGCCCAAGCCTCTGCTTCCACTGTGGATCATCACACACACCTGTCCCTTATGGTCGATGCCCATTTTCTTAGCAGCATACTCATTGAAAATCTCATCCACAACCTGGATTTCTGCATAGTGGTTGCCTGCTCCCAGGGTCCCCAACTGCAAATGTAAGAATGTCAGATAAAATAGTTCTTATTCCAGTTTTTAAAAAAAATTTATTTAAAAGGCAAATAGGGAAAACAAACAAAATAACTATAGAAATGGTGTTTTATGTAACAAAAAAATTCCTAAGCCTTAGAAATGCTTCATTCATTTAAAACGATATTCTATACAACAAAAATAATGTAGACTAGCTCCTGAATTTTATTATATCATTATATGCTCAAGATACACCAATATAAAAGGCTTTATAACCACCTCCCCCCAAAAGAAAACCCAGCCATTAAATGGCTCATAGGACATTTTAAATGTCATGAAGGAAAGGTGAAATTTTGGAATGAATGCTGGTGAATGCTGACTCTTAGAGAAGGTCCAAATTCAAATGATTTTTGAAACATATGAGTTCATGTACACCGACCATTATCTCTAATTGAAAAAATATATCCCACAACTGGAGCTAATAAATGATTCAGAGAACCAGAGAATGGCAGTGTTGGAATAGTCTTTAGTGGTTGCCTAGTTGTAACTATCACAATTTTCAACGAGAAAATGAGACCCAGAGAGGCCAAAGAGTCTTGCCCAAAGTCACAGTGAATTAGTGGCAAAGCCATCATAATTAGCCATAAATTTAAAACATCTAGTATATTCTTATGTCATGGACACCGTGCATTAACAAGGTATCTCTTTCCATCTTAGATGCCAGAAAACTTTTGGTCAAATCCATAGATTGTCAAAGTATGTATATATGTAACCTTGACATATGTTGTAAACCTTACGATCGCATCCCATTTTTCTCCCGTCCACTTCTAATTCATGATATCTTGTTTTATTTTATGAACAATTTGCAAGTTCCTGATGGCTTTTTAGAATAAGTAAATATGAAGCATAAACAAATTTGCATTTTTTGATATACGGTCAAAAAAACCTGGGAATATATTTGCTAAATGGAAAATACAGATTTTTCCCACCAATAACAAAATATGAAAAAAAATATCACTATGTTACCCCTCCAAAGTGAGAGTTACCTGAGGAAGGCCTCTTTTCTTAGCCCTTGCAGAGACTTTATTGGGATCAGCTTGCAGCATCCTTCCATACTCCTCACAGTGCTCCTTGTCTTCAGCCCAGGCATAGCCTTCTCTTAGGGACCAGTCCACACCCATCTCCAAGGCCTCCTCCAAGTCTCTGGTGAGTAGTAAAAGGTGCCAGTCATTTCACAGCAAAGGCAGATCAGAACCTAAGTATGACCACATCTCAAAAGGGCAGAGGAAAGCTCTGCGTTTACTATCTCCTGTGTACCAGGCCTTATGCTAGATACAAAGTTTGAGCTTAAGCTCTCAGCAACTCCAGTTTTTTGAGGAAAGTGGTCACATGTATAACTGCAATATAAAATGGTCAATGCCTTATTAGACATAATTATAGTTTCACTTGACATTTATATGGCCCCTCGTAATTTTCAAATCTTTTTTACATTAGATTTTCCTCTCTTGAATTCTATGAGGCGGTGATTAAGCAGCCAAAGAAATTTACAACCTTAATCAGGTATCACTCTCTGTGACTAATTGGACTAGCTATACACCTTAATAATTTATAAAAATATTATGGTCAAATAATAAATGAAGTTATCTAGATTTCCCCAGGAGACAGAGTTTAAATTTTAAGGCATATTCCCATCTTTGTAACAGTACTGAGCAGCTTATTGTGCCTGCATTTTGAAGCAGAGGTGCACATACATTAAATCTTTAGAGGGAAAAAGCTTTAATCTTTATCTAAGGTCTAGTTCTCTTTCAATACTATCAGAAAAGACTATACTTTTCAATGTTCCCCTCCCACTACCCCAGATGACAGCCCATTTCAAACATTATTTACTAGGACAAAATTCCTAACTAAAATACTTGTAAAGATGCTTGGAATTTATTTGTATGTTTCATGTATACTTTTCAAATTGGGGCTGCATGTCAGGGATCATGTGAAACCACAGAACAAATATCTTCCAAGGACTTTTAATTTTACATCAAGTTTTTTTTTGGGGGGGGGAGGAAAGCTATATAACAGGTATATAGCTAAAAACATTTTTCTATTAATTATACATATACACATATTTGATAAGAATGCAAAATTCATTTAAATTTTAAAGATAAGGCCAAGCACAGTGGCTCACACCTGTAATTCTAGCACTTTGGGAGGCCAAGGTGGTAGGATCGTTTGAGCCCAGGAGTTGGAGGCTGCAGTGAACTATGATGATGCCACTGCACTCCAGACTGGGCAACATAATGAGACTCTATCTCAAAAGGAAAAGGAAAGAAAAAAAAAAGACAAAGCAAATGTCAAAGAAACATACTTGGCACACTGTTCTGCTATTGAAGTACTTTGCAAAGTTGAAGATGCACTGCTTTGCATAAGCTATGATACAGTATGGTCAGTGGCCATTTGAGAGGTAGGTACACTGTAGTGTTACATTTAATTCTCTACTTAGCTGAAGAACAGTCAGTGCTATCATTCAAAAAGGAAGATTGTGGATGAATAGGTTCATTGACAAAAGGCAGTGGGATTCAGAATATAGCCTCTGAAGTCAAAGGATATTTGGTTTAAATCCTGACATCACTTACTAAACTTATCTCTCTAAACCTCACGTTTTCTTTTTTGTCAATTAGGGATAATAAAAGGATTACTGTCTAGATGAAACGATATGATGCACAGTGTCTTGCAAATGTAAAGTGCTCAGTAAATACCAGTGGATATTATTCTATTACAAACATTACTCTATGTAAAAGGCTGATATAATCAACTTCAGTATACTACCACCTCTAATAAATGGGCTGGACCTCATGCTTAAACAAACAATTCTTACTACTTCCTGAAAAGTGACTGACCAATCCTCATTTCTCATGTGTCCCATCTTGGAAATGAAGCTGCGGGTCATGAGGCTATTACTATCTCTCCCATTCGATTTACTGGAAACTTGTGCTCTTACTTGGCATTCATTGGGATGACACCTTTTGATCCTACCCCAACAGGAATGTGGTCAAACATAGCCTGGGCAAGTTGCTCCTTCACAGGCTGGACATCACTTTCATCTAAATTGGTTCTTAGCAAGCGGACACCACAGTTGATGTCAAATCCGACACCACCTATAATATAGGGAACAGTTAGTCAAATATTAGCAAAACCAGCTGGTCAGGCATTATTACCCTCAGTGTCTCATCATTAATACTGGGCTAAAAAGATATCCATTCTTTTAAAGATAACAATGTTTTAAAGTAGCCAACAAAGTGGTTCTCTGCTGGGTAAAGTCTGATGACACCAAAATAACCTAAAGTAACATACATACTAAAGGTACTTTGTGGGCTAGGGAGGCAGTAATGAACAATGAGTAACATCTAATATAGAGATTAAAATGTGAATAATGTGCCTCTTTTTTTCTTGACCACTCTTTTAAGGGGTTGGTGAATTCTATCAGTCTTTTCAAATAACCAACTTTTGGCTTTGTTGGTCCTTTCTATTATATATCTTTACATTTCATTAATTTTAGTCTTAATTATATCTTTCTACTTTTTGGGGTCTACTTTGTTGTTCTTTCTCTAACCTTTTGAGATAAATGCTTAGATCATTGATATTTCAGCCTTTCTTCTTTCCTCATTTGTGCATTTAAGGCTATATTGTTTCTGGGCCGGGTGCTGTGACTAATGCCTGTAATCCTAGCACTCTGGGAGGCCGAGGCATGAGGATCGCTTGAGCTTGGGAGTTTGAGACCAGCCTGAGCAAGCATTTCTACTAAAAACAGAAAAAATTAGCCAGATATAGTAGCATGCACCTCTAGTCCCAACTACTCTGGAGCATTCTAGCCCAGGTAACAGAACAACACTCTGTCTCAAAAAAAAAAAAAAAAAGGCTTTACGTTTCCATCCAAGGATGGCATTAACAGTAATACAGTAATCAAGTTTTTAGACATAAGTATTTTTAAAATGATTTTTTTCCATTGCTTTGAGAGACTGGCAAATAAAAATTGTTTACATTTAGGTGTATACAATGTACATATACATTATGAAAGGACTGTCAAAATCAAGGTAATCAATTTATATAGTTACTTCCCTATTTTCTAGTGAGAACATTTAAGACCTACTGCCTCCGCAAATTTCAAGTATACATTATTCTTAACTGTAGTCAACATGCTGTACATTAGATTTCCAGAACGTACTCATCTTACAGCTGAGATTTTGTATCCTTTGGTCAACATCTCCTGGGTACCCATCCACTGTCCCTGTAACCACCATTCTGCTCTGTATCTATGAATTCAACTTTTTTAGATTCCACATGTAAGTGAGGTCATATAGTTTTTTTAAATTTCAAAATATTAAGGGAGTACACATGTTTTAGGTTACATGGATGTTTCTGTAATGCTTGAGTCCTGGCTATAGGTGTGCCTGTCACCCTTCTGTGTCTGTCTTATTTCTCAGCATATTGTACTCTAGGTTCATCCACATTTTCCCCTTCAATTTTTAAAATTGGTTTCCTTCTTTTAAAGGTTGAATAATATTCCATTATATATTGACATTTTCTTTATCCATTCACTTGTTAACAAACATTTATGTTGTTTCCATATCTTGGCTACTGTGAATAATGCTGCAATGAACTTGAGGGTATAGACATTGCTTCGAGATAATGACTTCAGTTTCTATGCATATATACCTAAAAGTAGGATTGCTGGATCATATGTAGTTCTACTTTTAATTTTCTGAGGAAAAACCACACTGTTTTCCATAAGGGCTATACCAATTTACATTCTCAATTTTTAGACATAACTATATTTTTTACATTATTTTCTAATTTCCTTTTTTTTTGACTCATAGGTTATTAAAAAGCATAATGCTTAATTCCCAAATATATGGTTTGTTTCTTTTTAACTGACTTCTAACTTAATTCCCCTGTGTGATCAGATAATATCCTCTACATCAATGGTTCTCAAGTGCAGTCCACAAACCCCGGGGTGAGAGTGGAGGAACAAGACGCTTTGAGGTCTGTAAGATTCATTTTATAAGGATGATAAATTATTTGTCTTTTTTACTCATATTCTCTCATGAGTATACAGTGAGATTTTTCCAAAGGATGTACAACATGTGACAATATCTTTCCTCTGACAATGAAACACGTACTTGTGTGTTCTTGTCTTTTAAAAACTTATGTTTTAATTTCTAATAAGGTAAACATTAGTACAGCCTGTAAGATTATTGCTTAGTAATTTTTATGAGTGTACAGTGGTCCTGAATACAAAAAGTTTGAGAACTGCCAGTCTATATGATTTTAATGCTTTGAAATTTGAGACCTGCTTTATGGCTCAGCATGTGGTCAATTTCAGCAAAAACTGTGCACACTGGAAAAAAAATGTGCAATTTGCACTGTTTGGGTGCACTGCATGTGCACACTCAACCACACGTGTATATTAGAGGTCAAGGTGTCAAATTTGTTAACTAGATCACTCAAATCATGTACATTCTTACTGACTGAAATTTGCCATTACCTCAGGAGAAAAAGCGTTAAATGTTGGGCTCACATATCTGCACCTTTTTCTCTTTTCCTCTGGATCTTGACCTCACAAATTCTTATTGTCTTAGCAGCTTTCCTGTGCCTTTAAATAGATACTTGTCTGTAACAGCCTAGTCCAGCATCACCAGAAGCAGAACTCTCAAGATGTCATTTAAACTTTCTTTGAAAGCAAAAGACATTACTTCTAGTATGGAATGTTTTCAGTGAAAGCATCCCATGACCACAGCAGAAAAGGTATATACAACCAGAGGTGCATAACAATGGTAAGAGTAAACACTTACTGAATATGGCCTATGTGACATTACTTACACAGCTAATTCATTTAATCATCATAATGCTGTAAGTAACACTATTAGACTTCGTTTGCCTATGAGGTAACTGAGTCACAAAGATATAAAATTTGCTTGTTTTGTAGCCAATGTCTGAATAGTATGTGGCATTTGGTAGGAGGTTCCCAAAATTTTCAATAAATATATACTTTGCTTGATATTTTAATAGCCTTTCAGTGTCCATGATCAATTTTCAGTAAATGTGAGGGGAAAAAAAACGATAGAATACAATCAGACTGAGTTTTGTACACAAAGAGAAGCAGTGCAATGTTACAGAAAGGCTAAGGTCCACAGAGAAAAGCTATACACCTAACAGTGGACATGCAAAGTGACCTTACCTGGGGATACCACTGCTTCAGGGTCATTCATGTCAAAGGCTGCCATATTCCCAATAGCAAACCCATAGCCTGAATGGACATCAGGAAGCCCAATAGATCGCTGAAAGAGAATTGGAAAATGAAATACAGTTGTTTCCACCTGGCACTCTGGTTGCCTGATGGACCTGATACCAATTCCTACATAGACCGCAGGCTGAAGCCTTTCCCAAATCAAGATTCTGTTTTCACAAAATCTTCTCTATTGGTGGAAATTAGGTGTAAGAACTCCTAATCACAATGCTAAATACAGTGAGAAAAAACCTTTTTATAAAGTCTGACTGCTAAGCGAATCCAAAACAGAAAAGTCTCAGAATAACATGATACAGGAGGACCACAAACTAACTTTAATGTATGATTACATTTTAAAGATGATCTTAAGACATTGTGAATCATGGTCATGCCAGGTTAGGAAGAGGGAAATATCCAATTTATATAGATCATTACTTTTAAGTAATCAGACAAATGTAATCCACTTGATGGTATGAATATTGTAGACTTTCTACATCTGGGACCTAGAAAATGACCCTGACCCAGAAGAGTGCAGGTCAAACATGGCAAAGATATACGGAGACACCTAGACACAAACAAGTTCCTTAAATGCAAATGTCATTTCATAACCCTACACCCCAGACCTCAGAAAATGGCTGTTGAGTGGATCCATTTTCAACATCTACCTCTAATGGCAGAATATGAATGTCACACTGCAGTAGGGGCCCACAGGTACCATCCAGTTCTATCACTGTTACTGCCACCACCCCTGTTTTCCAATCATCTCCAGAATAGGTATGCTGTCCTCTCTCCCTCCCTTCAGTCCTATCCCTTAAACTTTCCATTCCTTCTCCAACCACCCTCTTGAGAGGGACATAGTAAAACCTACAAAGGTGGTACACTGATCTAGGAATAATGATGTTACTATGACAAAGAAACATTCAAAGGTTCTTGAACGGCTACAGATTCTAGTTAAAGGCATTTAGAAACAGACATGCTATCCAGACTCAATTATTTCTTTAGGTCCATGGTTATTTCTAAATAAATTTCTAGACAGTAAAGGTTACTGTCTAAATCAGGGGTCCCCAACCTACAGTGAGTTATATAATTATTTCATTATATATTACAATGTAATAATAATAGAAATAAAGTGCACAATAAATGTAATGCACTCGAATCATCCCCAAATCAGCGCCCTCCCTGCCCCCACCCAATGGAAAAATTGTCTTCCATGAAAACAGTCCCTGGTGCCAAAAAGGTTGGGGACTACTGGTCTAAATGATACCACTGTCAGTTAGGCATGCTCATTCATCCATTCAACAGACTTTAGACTAAGAAGAAATATAAATGATTAAAGCTTTGAACTCTGACTCACATGAACAATCCCAGGCAGGGCTGCCACATTGCCAATCTGTTTCATGGCTGGCAGGAAGCCACCAACACCTAAAAACAAAAATTGAATATTAGAAGAGGACATGCTTGATTTTTAGCATTAATTACATTCATGCTTCTAGACTGCATTACATGAGGGAGCAGTGGTCAAGGCTACTAAAACGACAAAGGACAGAAAGATATTTGAGATGCAAAGGGGAAGGGAGCTTTTTCAAGAAGGAAGCACACATACAGGTAAGAGTCACAGATGTGCTCTCAGTGTTCTGCATATACCACAAGAAGGCTGTTTGCAAATGTTGTATTGGGAGATGTAAAACATAACTATCAAATTTTATATTATCAATATAAAAAACATATTCTTTTAATAGTCCACATTATTTATCAAAAAAACCAACACAGGTTTTATTCTCAGTGACAAAGGCAATGTGGAAGAGCTGGGAAACACTGGATTGAGAGTCCAGGGGTGTGGTGGTCCAGTCCCAGTTCTGTTACTGGGTAACTGTGTCATTTCAGAGAGGTAAGCATACCCTGGGGGAAGGGCAGAGAGGGCTTCAGTTTGCTGATCCAAAAAATGAAAGGGCTAAAACTAGATGATTTATATACCATCGCTGTTAAAGTACTATCATAGAGCTTCGTACATTTTATCTACACTCATTGCAGCCTTGCAAGATAATAATGTGTTTTTTTGTAGATGAGATAACTGAGGTTCAGCAAGCCTAATTAGTGTACTGGTTAGGAACACTGGCTTTGAAATCAGACACTCTTGAATCTGAATTAGGGCTCTGCCACCAAGAAGAAGCTGTGTGACCTTGGGCAAATTAAAATGATTTAATTTCACTAAGCTTTGACTTACACATCTTTAAATGGAGATATTATCTTCCTTTTAAAGTTATTTTAAGTATTACTTGGGATAATCTATGTAAAGCACCTACTGAAATGCCTGGCACATACTAAGCGCAAAATAAACAGTAGGTCCTGCTATTATTGTTCAAGGTTTGCTGAGAAATAAACCAGTCTACCTACCTCCAAACCCTTTCTACAGGCCAAGTGGCTAACGATGTGATCACAAATAAATTTTTTGGTCTCATTTCAAGTTGTGCTTGTTCCTTGACAGTGTTTTAAAATTATAATTATTTGAGTTCCCATGTTTTCAGGACACAGGGAAGGCACCACTGTATTACCACAAATGAAATTGTAATGTACTTACCACCACCTCGACAGGCATTCCTTAATTCCTCAAACATTAATTTCTCCAGAGCATCATTCACATAGAAAACTCCTTCAACCTGGTACCAAAGAAAAGGAAAAACACTATCTGAGTACATGTATGGGAACTACAGGCACTGGATAGAATACACTGTATGTAATTTTTATTTTGCTTTACTCCTTATCAAGCATTTTCACATTACCTTAAGCAAGCAGAAAACTTCCTATCAAAGATTACAAGCTGCTCCCAACTTTAAATATACCTTAAAAATATATTTTGCAATGTTGAAAAACTGTTTTGTTTATTCTTTTGAACTCAAAGCCAGATTTAAGAGTCCAACAGACAAAGCATTTTTTTGTATGTGATAAATGAGCATCTTCCAACTATGCTCTCACAAAGGCCAAAGGTCTCAGCATTCTCAAGTTTCTAAAATATCAATGGAGTTTGAAAAACCAGACAAGTCAAAAACTCAAAGCCTATACATAAAACGTAGTCATAGGACCTCAGTATTTTTTCCCATGTTTAAGACAACAGCAAATTACACTTTTTGGTGGTCTATGTTGATTTTTAAATCTACATTTAGGTAAATCGTGAGTAAAAAAACAAAACAAAAAACATTTAACATGTAGTTATTCAGCTGTGTGCTAAGTTCTATAATCTATATAGTTTTAAAGAAGCTTGACAATACAGGAGACACACAAAGGGCATTAGAAGACCTAATTATGTAACACCAAAGGACAGAACATTTTTATCAAAGATCAAATATGATGTCTGGTAATGGAGAACTAAAATTTACTTGGTCAATCATCTGGGCAAGTCAATTTATTTTATCAGAAAAGATGACTTCTTCACCACTGCATGAATAACAATTAATACCAGTTGAGAGAAAATGTTTCCAGTACAGTTTTCTAGGGGTCACACTTATTTATTCACTAAACATTAATTTAAGACTTACTATGCATGAGGCACTGTACTGGACACAAGAGGAGATAAAAGAATATGACAAGATCTTGCTTTTGAGGAGCTTCCAGTGCAGATGCAGCCCAGACAAGAAAGAGTGCAATGAGGAAAGTTCTATAAAAGAAGTACACAGTGCTAGAAAGAAGGTAATGAGGAAGTGGCTCAATAATCTATAGAGCTGGGAGAGGCTTCACAGAGGTCCTGTTTGAGCTGGCTCTTCAACGACAAGAGACATTACTGGAGCAGCAGAACATTTAGGAACTGAACACAAAGAAGACATAAAGATGGGAGGGGAGTGTTTTAAGGGAATAAAGAGAAATTTTTAGTGTGGTATATAGGTCTTGAAGAGAAATGGACATTAGAGAGAGATAATTATTAGTGCGAAATTCACTGCTCTTATGAGGATAGAAACACGCTCCAACCTTAGCACAGAGGTCAGAAGATTTCAAGTCTCCATTCCCAAAGAGGTGGTGCTAAAGTGTTGTATAAATAGTTAAACCATAATTGTCTAATAAAATTAGATTTACTCCTAGATAGAATTAGCATCAGTTTTTGCAAAAAAAAGTTGAGCCAGAATAGCTGCCAGACAACGACAGTCTGTTATCATACAGACATACCGTAAAGACAATCATATCATGGTGTTTTTTATTTTCTACTCTTTCCTTCAGGTACCAGATTCCATACAAAGAAACTGACCAAACAGGAAACAAAGCACTGTTTATCACTGGGGACTTTTTCTTCCCTCAGTATCTGGCTAAGCGATTTGCTGACAAGGGACACTCAATAAACTTTGATCTTGAATAAAAGAGTGGACTGGCTATCAGGAACGTTTTACCAAGACACAGGATCACAAACCTTTGGTGCACTTATATGGTACCTATAGGTATTTCAAAAATTATTTAACAACATATGCACCAAAACCTCACATATGTTTTTCTTCACATTAAGAGAAAATATGAGCGTAACTGTTGATAAGCCCTGAGATACAGTGAGCCCAGGCTTTCAAACCATCTGGTCTTGGGCTTCCAAGTATCCACCTTGGGATACATTCTTCTGTCAGAGGAAAAAGAAGTGATCTGGACATCAAGTCCTGGCTGAACTTCTTCCCAGGTGGGTAGAGGAAGCTGTGTCATCTACAGATTCTCAAGGTCCTTCTGCGAAGTGAATATTAAAAAGCACCCCCTGCCCTGTTAATCTTCTAGGCTGTTGCAAGGAACAAAATCGTTTTATTAAAAACCAACATGGAGGCCGGGCGCTGTGGCTCACGCCTGTAATCCTAGCTCTTGGGAGGCCGAGGCGGGCGGATTGCTCAAGGTCAGGAGTTCAAAACCAGCCT